TGCAGAGGCATGTCATTATCTAGTAACTATTATTCTAGTGCTGAGACCTTCGACTTGAGGTATGAGGCTTTGAAATGTGATTGTGGGCTAAGAGCTGCCATAAGGGGTACCGAGTCTGACAAGCCATCTAAAGAGAGACTGTATTTCATTTGTGAGAAAAGAAATTGTCAATTTTGGAGGTGGTGTACCCCAAAATCTGTGACGATGGTAGAGAGGCTGAGGAACGAGAGAATGCTTGATCAAAATCAAAATATGGAGCCTGTAAGACTAAAAGTGAAAAACCAAATGCTTGAGCAATCCAATGCTTTCATGAAGCAGCTTGTTGTGGGTCTACTCACAATTTGTATTGTTATGTTAGTTGCATTACTCTTCAAATGATGATAGGTGCCGTTTAGAGATACCTGGTGTTTTTGTGCTAATGTAGTTTACCATGAACTATTGTACTAAGCTTTGTACTCAATGAATGTTGATATGTTTGACGTAGTTGTCATGTATGGTTGTTTTGTACTAATCTAGTTGTTGTAATGCAAGCAATAATGAATGAGTTTGTTTTAAAGAATTTTTTTTCTTTCATAGAATGAGTACCCAAGAGAAAACACAATCTGAAAATAGGAAGAACAAGGGAAAATCAAGTCAAGTACCATCCGTTAAAGTTCACTGGGATGCAAAATCAAATGAAATTTTTATTAAGCTTTGTGTTAAGCAAGTGAAAGCTGGACACAGACCTAGTACACACTTAGATAGGGTCAGGTGGGAAAATGTGATAACTAAGTTTAAAAGTATAACTGGAAAAGCATAACAATGAATACAAATGAAAAATCATTGGGATGTGTTGAAAAAAGATTGGCTTTTATGGAATAATCTGTTAAGGGGTGAGACAGGCTCAGGCCGTGATACATTGACTAGAGTTATATTTACATCTGATGAGTGGTGGACCAAGAAATTTGAGGTAAGTGAATTGCTTAATGTACATATTCTCTTTGTTTTTTTTTGTTTAAATAGACCAAATTTTGTTACTTGAAATTGTTAAATTTTCCTTTGTAATTGTTGCAGAGGTATCTTGATGCTGCTAAATTTCAGCGTATGCCATTGCAATTCACTGAAGACTTAGACATACTATTCTCAGATGCAGCTGCTACATGAGAATAGGCATACACCCCTTGCTCAGGGGTTATGCCTCACACTGATGAGACTCTGGAGGAATTTCATACCCCACATGATACTGAATTTCATGATGATGCTGATTTGGAGGTGGTTCATCCTTTAGATTTAAACAAAAAACGTCCATAAAACACTAATGGTTCATCAACCAAGAGCAAGACAAATAAGAAATTTACTAGTGCATCTATACTTAACAAGACACTTGATCGTATAGTTAATGTGGTTGAGTCGTCTTCAGCAACTTCAACACAAACCTCATCAAGATATCCTTCAATTGCAAAATGTTTGGCGAAGTTGGAAAGCATCCCTAGTGTGTGTAACAATCCGAAAATTTAAGTTGTTCCATAAATTTTATACTAGTATTATGGTTGTATGTGATAATATATTATTAAATAAATAATAATAAATACAGAATCTAATTTGGCACTGGATTATCAAATATGAGATTAATTAGAGATTATTATTTGGGGTCAAATTAACAGAAATATGGAATTATAATACTAGTTGGGCCAAATTAAAGTAAAAGATAATAAATAAATAAATATAAAAGTAAGAGTAAATAAATAATAATATTGATAACAATAATAATAATAATAATAATAATAATGGGTGGGGTAGTAAAATAAATAATTAATTTTCTGTTGGTATACGATAGAGTGTAATTTAATTAGGGATTAATTTATTTATATAGTTATATTAGAAAACTGGGCCAAAGTGTAATTATCTTAAATATTTATTTTGATAAGTAATAATCCTGAGCAAATCTTCGAGCTGCCACGTGTTGGCCGGATGTGGCTTTTACGTCCCTATAAATAGGGAGGAGTTGATCAACCTGTGAAAGAGAAAAAGGAAAAAAGAAGAAGAGAGATATGAAGGATAAAGCAAACAGAGAAGGGAAAGAGAATATTGGAAGTGAAGAAGGTCTTTGGTAGTGGAAAAAAAGATTAAGGTATTAAAGTTAAGATGAGTTATATTATACCTTGAGTTACCATAATATATTTTACGTATGTTTTGATTTACCATTATTTATTTTATACAAGTTATGTTTTATAAATTATTATAAATTATATTAATATTTCAATTACGTGGATTATTTTCTGAACCCTATTTGTTAAAATGAAATCCATGGATATGTTTGTTTATATTTTAAAGAATATTTGATTATAACCTTATAAACAATTATGTTTTGTAAGCACCACCACGGGAGTCTCACGCCTTGGGAGACTTAAATAACCATTGGCTTCTGTTTGGTCACTTTGTGGCCCTCTATTGTCATGGATCTATTGACCTCTGTTCTGTGCGGAGCAAAGTGCTGTGCGAAGATAAGTGCTACACTATTGTGGGAGCCACCTCTATAGTCCGTACGAGCCACCTCTTGAATCCGCATCTCTGTTCTAACTGTCACTCCTGTGACTTCTGTTCTGTTTTATTCGGTACCGTGATTATGGTTATTTATTTACATAATCTCAGTTTTGCTACTTAAATGATTATTTGTTTAGACTAAGTTATCCTAAATATTTTAGTTACATAACTATCCATGGTTATTTTGTATCCCTTATACTCTTGGTATAATATTTCTCACTCTACCATGTGCTTGTAACTGTTTACCAATTTTTCAGAAAACAATGCAATTTAGAAATAACTTTTAGAAAGTCTTAGAAGCGAGACTGTGAAATTGACACACACCGCACTTTTATGATATTTTTATATGTAAATATCGGCCTTTTTGGTCAATAAATTTTGTAATAAAAATAGAAGCTCCGATAATTATTTTGGTACCCTCACTTTAATATTATTTCTTCTCACGTTTATTTATTTGTTCAAGAATTGGCCAGAGGTAACTTCAGTTACTAGACATCACAATGCTTAACTTTTGGGTACGGGGAGCAGGTCGTGACAGTGTGTCCTCAGATGATGAGTTGTATGTATGGGCTGTCAGATTGTTCTTAAGAGACAAGCGTCGTGAGTGCTTCATGACTCTTCCTACGGATGAAGTTTGAATGAGGTTTCTGAAGTTAGAGATTGAGATCGAGAAAACCACCACAAGTTATTGCGGCTAATTGTTTCTGAAGTTGGATGTTTCTGAATTTCCTAATTATTTCATGTTTAAGACTTTTATTATTAATTGTGGACTGTTGTGTGGACTCATTATTTTTTTTTCTTTTATTAATATTGAGTATGTTGGACTATTATATTGGACTCATTATTTGGACTTTTATTAATATTCTATTGGACTTTTATTATGTTGGACTTTGTTAGTTCAATAGTTGAATGGTTAGTTGGTAGATGGCATTTATTCTCAGATGCAATTTTTATTAGGTGGATGCCATTTGAATGGGAGGTGGCATTGATTTCATTATTGAATATGAATGGTAGGTAAATGGTTAAGACTTTTATATATATGTAGATGTTCTCCAGCTGCTGTTATTGTGAGAAATGTTGAATCTCTTGTGAGATTTAGGTTGTTGTCTATAAATAAGTGAAGGTTGAAATTTTTATTAAGGTCTCATGTTCCCTGATTTGTTTTCCTTTCCTATCATATAGCCTGATCTGATATTGGTCTACTGTCTAGCCTGCTTTGTTGCTTTGTTGGTGTGGTTGAGCTGGTCTGAATTGTTGGTGTTATTTTCTGCTGCCTGGCCTGCTTTGTTTGCTTTCCCTCTCATATAGCCTCATCTTATTTGCTGCTACTGTACTACATCTGCTTATTGTGGAGCATTGGCTTCACAAGTTAGTTCAAATTTTGAAGTTGAAGGTACTTATTTTTTTTTCTTTACATTTTTATCAATTTCTTTGCATTCCATGGTAACAAATGATCAAAAATGATTTCTAAAGATGGCTCATCATTTATCTGTAAACTTCTTTATGTGTTGAACTACATGTGCCTATGGATACCAAATAATTTTTCTAATATACTTGTGCATTTGCACAGATACACTTTGGGTCAAGTTGGATAGATTTTTTTTTTTTTTTTTGATCGGCAAAACGAAAGACTTTATTGATGATAAGACCATACAAAGTATGAAAAGACACATTAATAAAGAGAAGTTTGGAGCTGAACATAGCTCCAACCTCCTAGTTGATGAGACGCCAACAAAGAAAATAAAACCAGAAAGAGCAGCAGAGCAGAGCAAAACCAGAGCAATATAAACCAAAGCAATACATCGATATAAACAAAAGCAACAGCAATAAAACGTAGTAGCACAACAACAACTCATTAGCAACAGGAAACCCCATCAGTGCAGCAGCAAGACAAGAGAGGCACCTACAAACTACCAGTTCACAAGCTCACCCCATCAGTGCAGCAGTTCACAGGTTATACCCCATCAGTGCATGATGCAGAATTTCACATTTTGCAAATTGAACACTAGATCATTGACTAAATAACAAAAAGAAGGACTATAAGCTCTGAACCACAATGCAATCCGTGTTTTGATAAGTTCACACAACTTTTCCAAGACCACCTTTGAGTCATTAAAAAGGTTTTCATTCCTCTGCTTCCATAAAGACCAAAGCACTGCCATTGGGATTATCTTCCAAAGCACCTTCAGTCTATTATTACATCTATAACCAGTCCACCACTAAAAAAGTCTAGACACTGACCCCAGCTGCACCCAAGATACACCCCACCACCCAATAATATTGGACCAAACTCTCCAACTAAAAGGACTGCACAGCAGCACATGAGTAGCAGTTTCCACTTCATTCCTGCAGAATGTACAGTTAACATTTGAATTAGCTCTGAGTACTCCAATTCATTGCAAATAGCTAGAAGTCTTGATCCTTCCTTTCCATGCTAACCAACCAAAAAATTGCACTTTCGAAGGGGCAGCATTCTTCTAGATGAGATCCCTTAATTTTGCAGGCAGAGTAGAAGGTAACTCACTCCACTTGTAGACAGAAGCAACAGTGAAGACACCAGACTTATCTGCAGCCCAATTCAAACCATCTAACACACCATTCCTGAGATCTGGAGCAGTATGTAACAACTCCTTTAACCTCCTCAACTCTTCAAGTTCCCATTGAAACAATACTCTTCTGAAAGCCAAATCACACTCCTCATTTCCATTACTTCTGCTCTTAACCAGTGCCATTGATTCACCTTTATCAATAGACATGGAGAATAATCTAGGAAATAAATTTTTTAAACAATCATTGCCAACCCACAGATCCAGCCAAAATTTTGTGAGCCTCCCATCCCCAATAATGATCTTTGAGTTGGCCTTAAAGAACTCCAGCAACTCAGGGCACTTAACAGCAACCCCCAATATACCCCTCCACACTATAGATACCCTAGAATTTGCATCTTGGTCTGGCCATCAAAACCCACTAAACTGTGGGTACTTGCTACAAATTACTTGTTTCCAAAGAGAGCCAGTTTCATACCCAAATCTCCACCGCCATTTGAGAATAAGACAGTCATTCATAGTTCTCACCTTTCTAATGCTAAGACCCCTATTGCTTTTGCTTTGGGTGATTGATTTCCTCCCATTTTACCATATGAATTTTCCTTCTAAGTTCATCACCCCCCAATGAAATCTAGATTGAATTCTATCAATCTCCTTGGCTACCCCTTCAGGCATTTTAAACAGAGATAGGTAGAAAACTGGTAATGAGGATAGCACAGACTTGATCATTGTCAACCGACCAGCGAAAGAAATGAGCCTTTTCTTCCAAGAAGCTAGCTTTGATTTGAAATTTTCAAAGACAGGTTACCAAGTCCTTCTCCTAGGATTAGCACCCAATGGCATCCCTAAATATTTCAGTGGTAACCTATGATGCAAGTAGTTCAAGATGGCAGCAAAGTCTTTAGTGAGCTCTTCATTAATTCCAACTCCACACACTACACTCTTATGATAATTAATCCTTAACCCAGACAAAATTTCAAAACACCTCAATATTCTTTTGATATTAAGTACCTCCTCCCTTTTTTCCTCACAAAACAAAATTGTGTCGTTAGCAAATTGTAAATGAGTAATAATAAGGTCATTTGAACCAACTGATGCACCCTTAATCAATCCAAACTGGACAGCTCTATGTAACAGTATGTTAAGACCCTCAGCCACAATGTTAAAGAGAAAAGAGGATAATGGGTTACCTTGTCTAAGCCCCCTTTGGGGATTAAACTCAGCTGTAGGTGATCCATTCACCATTATAGAGACTTTGGCAGTTGAGGTACACTTCTTCATCCATATGATCCATTTTGAGCCAAATCCAAAATTTGATAACATGAAGCAGAGAAACTCCCAATTTATTGAATCGTATGCTTTCTCAAAATCAAGCTTTAAGATAAGGCCTTTCTTTTGCTTCTTCTTCCAACCATAAACTATCTCATTAGCAACCAGGATGCCATCAAGAATTCTTCTACCCCCTATAAAAGCTGATTGAGATTCATTTATGATCTTGGGTAATACTACTTTAAGTCTACTGGATAAAACTTTGGATAGAACTTTGTACAATGATCCAATGAGACTAATAGGCCTGAAACCATTAAGTCAAGAAGGATTTCCATTCTTTGGAAGCAAAGCTACAAAAGAGCTATTGATACCAAGAACCAACTTTGAGTTGGTATGGAACTCTCTCATGAATTGCATCACACCCTTTTTAATTATATGCAAGCACTTCTGGAACATCATAAGATTAAAACCATTAGGCTTAGGAGCCTTGTTACCATCACAGTTATTAAGTGCTACCACAACTTCAGATTCTGTGAACTCAGCTTCCAAAGCAACTCGCACCTCTTCATCCCCAATAGATTTAAAAGGACCAGATAAGCTTGGCTTGTTGAACCATGATTCTGCAAACTGCCTCTGAAAGTGATTTAGTACTTCAATTCTTATTTCATCCGGATATTCTTTCAAGGCCCCATTGACCTCAATTGAGCACAATGCATTCCTATTCCTTCTTGAGGAAGCCATAACATAGAAAAAATTGGTATTTTTTATCCCCTTTTAATAACCAGTTAGCTCTAGACTTTTGCAACCATAACTATTCTACCATTTTGCTCAAGTTCCATGCTTCACCTTTTACCTCCCATAGCCTATATCTCTCTGTATCAATGAGTAGTCTTTGTTCAGCTACCAAATCCAAGTCATGTATCTCCTCCTCCAGTTGCTTGGGCTTAAAGTCCACCTTACCAAAAACCTCAAGGTTCCATCTTTTCAATGCTACTTTAAGTGATCTCAGTTTCCTTAAACATTTGAATCCAGCCCAGCCATTTCTATGAGATTCAGCGCACATTTTCTGCACAAAAGTTTTAAAATTCGGATGAAGAGTCCAGGCATTTAGAAACCTAAATGGCGTTGGGCTCCAATCCCTCTCATCTTTCATCAGTAAAATAGGACAATGATCTGAGAGCCTTCTTGGTAATCCCCATAGTTTAAAGTTAAATTTCTACAACCAATCTGGACTGAGTAAAAACATGTCTAGCCTACTCCATTTGACACCTTCTTGAGAATTACACCAAGTGAACTTTCTCCCCAACATTGGTATGTCACACACTTCCAGATTATCAATTAGCTCATTGAAATCCTTCATATATCCACTCCTTTGGGAACAACCCACCCTCTCAGCTAATTTCCTTACCTCATTGAAATCACCCCCCAAGCATCAAGGGTTGATAATTTTTTTTTTTAAATTCTTCGAAGTTTCCTATACCCCTTTCCTGCTAGCACCATCAGTCGGACCATATACATTTACAATAACACAGGCTAGACTTGTGCAGAGAGTACCAGAAAAAATGATAAAATTCCTGTTACTGCAGCAGTCCAGAAGTTGAAATACTTGTGGATTCCAGACACACAGTAGTCCACCAGCTGCACCCTTTGAGTCCACAGCCATATATGCCATCTGGTCACCAGGCTAACAAGATCTGACAAACTCCTCAATGATAACAGGTCTCTTTGTTTCTTGAAATAGTGTCATATCCACCTTTCTCTCAAAAAGAAGTTTTTTGATTTTTCTCCTTTTAATAGACTTGCCTAACCCTCTAATTTTCCAGGATAAGATCTTCATTAAAGCAAATTTACACACCAAGACACCACAGTAGATATGGTTAATCTGCCTTACTACCCCTTTTACCGAGCACCTCTTTATCATTTTCTTCTAGTTCCATCAATTTACGGAGCACTTCCTCGTCATTACCTTTACATTTCAGCCCAAGTAACTTCCCAATCTGTAAAGATGATTCTGCCTCATTAAGGAGCAACTAGCCAGAACCCGATTTGCTTGCCATGGATAGAGAAATTGTTGCAGCTACCGACCTAAATACAGCCCTTTTCTTGAAGTTCATGACTGATCCAACCCCAATTTATAAGTTTCCTTTTTTCTTCCTCTGGTATTTCGCCATCCCTTTTGCTTTCTCTTTTGTGGTGGTTTTCCTTTTTTGAGCTGCCACTGCAGTGTTACAATTTACTACACCGTGAAGCACCTTATCCCTACTGTCTTGGGCTGCCTTTCCCTTACTGATTAGATCTTCAGCCTCCTGTGTTGGCTGATTCTTTGGGTCACTTAACTCAGATGACCTATGGCCCAGAATGTTTTCACACTCTATGACATGGGCCTTACTTAATAACACATCTATATTAAGCCCAGGTCCATCTTTCTTTGGCCCACTAAGGCTCCTCATAAAACCTGGAGTAATAACTCCATCTTCAATAATCTGGTTACCTTCATTTTGAAATTGCACAAGGTTTAGCAATGATTTGACTGAATGAGTCCCGCATGCTCCTCCTCTACCTCCAGGTTGCTTCTGCAAACAATCCGCTTGACCTATAGACATGATAGTCTCCTCAACCCTAGACATACTTAGCTCCCTATCTTGTCCATCAATGGTTGTATGGTCATCATGACTTACCCTCAGCCCCCCTGCCTCTTCAGCACCTCTGATGTCCAGTACACCTCCAACCTAGCCCTCCATATCAGCTTCATCTTCACCCTTCTTGCTCCCCACAACAGATCTCTGCTCTTGATCTTGTTCCTTACCATTTGAAATTGAATTTTTCGTTTGTGGTTGTTCACTATAGGATTTGCATTATTTTTATATCACCTCTAAAATCACCACTTGGTCTTCACATACTTTGACTAGGTAGGCTACCCCCTTGCAACACAAGGTAATTGTTGTGTTTATGGACTCCATACACTTGGTAGCAATTCTCACCTTCCCACTGTGAAAAGACTTCATTTTGGATGTGTCCTCATCAATGCCTATGACTTCCCCCCACGACCTTCGAATGCTACTAAATGTTTTGTTGCTCCAGAGATTCAAAGGTACTCCATAACAAGTAAGCCAAACAAATCTTTCTTGGTCAAGAATCATCCCCTGCTGCCATTCCTTGACTGATTCACTCCATGACTAGATCCATCCCTCCATTGATTTGAGCTTCTCTTTCATGGTTTCTGCTGACTCAAATGTTAGCGCAATATCTCTTCCACCACCATATCTAATTTGGACATCTCTCATTCCTCTGTTCTTTAATTCCTCTTTAAACTCATTGGGTCACCTAACTAGGCTATTAAGAAGAAAAAAAAATTTATTGTCCAATGCTCTAATTTTTTAACCAATTAGACTAATGTACATTTTTATTTAATTTCTTCTCTATTATGAAATTTTTTGTATTTTTTATTTCTTTCTCATTATTGGGCTGATTGTTTCTTACCCATAATAGTGCATTAGTTATGTATATCAGGTATTGGTTTGGCCTTTTTAAGCTCTAAGTTATGTTAGGGATTTTTCATATTCTTCAGGTATTGGTTTGCTGTCCAGATGTAATCATCTACATCTTGTTGTTGTTGGTTCTAATTTATATGTCACAAAAAGAAGAAGAAGAAGAAGAAGAAGAAGAAGAAGAATCTATGGAACCTATGAATATAGATCAAATGCATTCATAAACAAAATTAGTGTACAACTACAATACATTCATAAACAAAGCTAAAACATAAATAAAATTAGTATGCATCATATACAAGCTCAACAAATGGTTCACCAATTTTTCATATCTCTTGCTTCATATATAGTTGTACTATTGTGTGTTTACTTCATTATTGTAATAGTAAATAAGAAGCCTTTAAATGAGTAGGTGTTTTGGAGATGAGTAACAGTGGTAACAATGAATGAAATGATGATCATGATGATGAAGATGCTGAAGATGAAGATGAAGATGAAGGCAGCACATCGCAAACCTAACAAAATAATAATATGCCCTTAACAACAGCGGCAACAGTTGTAGTCACATATGCGACAAATTATTTGATAAAAGAACCATGTAGGACATCTTCTCTAACAGGGTGGAAGTGGATGGTCAAATTACAAGAAAGGAATCGAACAAGAATATTTGAAAATTTTTGAATGGAAAGAGATGTATTTTATCAATTGTGTGATTTGTTACAGAATAACTATGGCCTTCAAACTGGACAAAAAGTCTCGGTTCAGGAGTATGTTGCAATTTGTTTGTATATTGTTGGCGGTGATATTCAAAACAGAAATGTCCAAGAAAGATTTCAATTTTTCGGAGAGACAATTTTAAAATACTTCAAGCTGGTGTTAAAAGCTGTTACAATGATGTCTATTGATTGAGTAAGGCCTCAACTGAGAAATGGTGTGCATCCATATGTTACAAACAACCACAAATACTATCCTTATTTCAAGGTAACAATTAACTACAAGTGGAACTTAGGTGTTACATATAATTAATGTTCTTAAGATATTTTTAATAATGAATAAATATATTTTTATTCTCAATTTTGTAATAGGATTGTATTGAAGCAATTAACGGAACACACATCAAAGCATATATATCTCCAGATAAGCAACCTCGTTTACTAGGCAGAAAGTGGTATGCGCCTCAAAACATAATGGTCGCATGTGACTTCGATATGTGTTTCACATTTTGCTTGCTCGAATAAAAAGGAAGTGCACACGATACTCAGATCTTCTTAGATACAATTAAGAATCCTAGTTATAATTTTCCAAAACCAAAAGGAGGTAACTGTTTTATATTTGATTGCTATAGTATATGCACCGCACTCACATCTTCATATTTATTTTTACATTTCTAATTGCTTACTTTAACTTCATTTTGAAATTTTTAAATAGATGAGTTTTACTTGGTGGATGCTGAGTATCCAAACATGAAAGGATATCTTACACTATACAAAGGAGAGATATACTATCTAGCTTAATTTGAACATAGTCAACCCCCCCAAAATGCACAAGAAAAATTCAACCAAGCACATTCATCACTTAGAAGTGTAATAGAAAGAACATTCGGGATTTGGAAAGCAAGATAGCCGATGATAAAGGATATCCCACGAAACTACTAGTGGCTGACCCAAGTCAAACTTATTTGTGCAACAATGGCAATTCATAATTTCATCCGACGAAGTCAGTTCTGCGATATTGCATTTGACTCTTATAATAGATTCACGGATTATGTGCCTAATGAAGAGGAAGGATTTTCGTCTCAACAAACACGCCATGGAGATGATGTTGCAGGTGATGACAACGAGATGGAAATGAGGAGACGTAATATTTATATGTCAATTTGCAGACGAAATTAGGAGTTCTTTAAATATCTAGAAAGTTTTATTTTTATTGTCTTAATAGTAATTTATTGTATTTTTATTGCAATGACATTTTCTTGTTCCCTTGTGAACTCAATATTAAAAAAATAAAATAAAATAAAATTGAGGTAATGGAAAAATGTACCAAATTAGGTACTAATTATATCAATTTTCATTAATGAAATAACTTATTCAAAATTTAAAGTGAAGAAAATGACAAAATTACAATTTTTATGTTCATAAGGGCAAAAATAACAATTACACAGTAAAAAGTTATTTTACAGTTTTTTTACCAAACACTACTCTGCTACTTAAATCCATAATCTCACACTACAAGAATTAACACTTTTGCTGACCAAAAAATTGGTCGCTAAAAGCCCATTTTTAGTCGGCAAAAGTTATCCACGACCAATTTTTTTATTGGTCGCCAATTGAGGGTCGGCAAAAGTAATTCGCGACCAAAATTTTGGTTGGTCGGGAAAAGTTGGATTTGCCGACTAAATTTTTGGTCACTAAATATATCATTACTGCAACTAATCTATTTTGTCGCTAAAACATTTTGGTCGCGAAAAGTCACTTTTTGCCGACCAAATATCTTAGTCGCCAATTGTCACATTCCACGACCAAACAGATTAGTTGCCAAAAGTCGAGGAATCGCCGACTAACAATTTAGTCACCAAAATTTAAGGAATTGCTGACCAATGATTTTATTTGCCGACCAATTTTTTAGTCGCCAAATCTCCTTTTTCTTTTTTTTTTCTCCGAACAATCAATTTTTGTTTATAAATATTCAATCCAATATCGAACAAAATTCATTCAACCCAACCACAATTAAGGAACAATAACATTTAAAAAAGAAAAAGCTTTGGAATAATAATTAACAAATTTCATTAGTAATGCGAATAAAATCCAAGCTCATAGGATAAGATAGGTCTATCTTTGATCAATAAGTTCCACAAGCAATGAATAACAAAGCCGAGGTTGAAAACCATAAGGCATCCTATTCAAGGACAAGATATGATCTCAAAGAGTAGTGAATTACAAAAGATTACAGAATGTGGAGTCTGGTACGTTCCATTCTTGCTGAATCCACTTGTTAGTTTGTGAGTGTGCTTGATTCCTTTTGCTAGGCAAAGGCGAGATGTAATGGTTGTCACTATTTCTTCTATGATTGTCTTAGCATCCCGGAATGTGTTCTTGTAGAGCTTCTTGTTCTTTTCCTTCCATGCCTACATAGACAATATCTGCTAGCAAACACTAGCACACAATTTTCTCTACATAGACAATACCTGCTGGCAAACACTAGCACACAATTTTTTGTCTAGCTTGACATAACTATTATCACATATGTAATTGATCTTCTATTATATATTTTACATTTTGGATTTTAAAAAGTAAAAAAATTGTTTAAAATCTTAGGATTTTCTCCATGGATCGATTCCTCCTTTGTTCCTTTTTCGAACTAATTTCGTGAAGTTTTTGGATAGGAAGGCAAGGTCCATATTCCACATAATTTTGCTATTGTCATATCTAGAACATACATTTGCTACTGATGTAACAGACAGATAAAACACATATTTGCTCCATTAGAGCTTGTGTATGAGTTGTGTTCATGCACAAGTTAAATATATAAAATATTTAAACAAATACAATAAATGAGAAATTGGGGTCTCCATGGGTTAAGCTGTATCTTGATGAAGATATGAATCATACACGAATGTCTAAAGTATTTATTAGAAACAAACTCAATAGTTTAATTTATCTCATTTGCTTTCAACCATGTTCAGTGGTTCTTCTACCTAATCTTTTCCATTGTAGATGTTTGTCCTGTCTGTGCATATTAGAGTAAAGGAATCATAATGAAGATTATCCAATTAACATATACACAAAATACTTAAAATCACAAAACTTAAAGAGTCAATCCATCTGACTATCAACAAATAAAATGTGATCACAAATACGAAGCAAACAATAGGAACCAGAGGGTGTAGAATCCTGTTCGCATCCTGTTCTTCCACCTTGTTTTTATGCAGCAATTCTCATCTTAGTAAAAGAAGAGAAATAGAAAACCAAAAAAATTGATGGAACCCATTAATGGGTTAGGCTTGTGGCTTAGAATTTTGAGAAGCCTAACAGACATTTTATCAAATAGTTTGAAGACAAGAAAAAAAAACAAAAAACAAAAAATCCTTTGTTATTAAAGTTTTGCTTTTAAAAAAAAGTAAACACACAATCAATTTAAGTTGGGGCTTTTAAAAAAATGTACATATTCAAAGAAAAAAATGGTTTGAAATCACCTTATGATCGTCCAAGAAGACCGAGATGCTAATCTTTTAAGCGAGTTCGCCACATCAAGATTGTCTGAGATGTGAGTGAAGAAGATCAAGACGGGAGAGTGGATTCCCATATCTCTATCCTCATCTGATTGTTTGAGATAGAGTGAGGGTGAGAGTGAAAGATCAATCGATTGAGAATGAGAACAAGAACATGACAACAAAAGCATGAGAATGCAACTGAGAGAGAGGGAGAATTGACTGTTGGTGACAAAGTTCAAAGATCGTGAGAGTTGAGAAGAAGAGGCACTGTGAATTTGTTAGAGATTGCCGATTGACGAAGGGCAAGTGGAGAAGAGATGGACTGTTGCACTCAAAAAATTTTCACAGAGAGAGAGAGTAAGAGCGGGAGATATTTTATATGGATGGTTATTGGATCAGCTGTAAAACGATCTTACATTGCGTATACGGACACATTTCAGAGTCTCCTTATGACGAGTGTGGTCTGAGGATATGAGGATCAACGAGAGATCAATTTGACACATTTCAATTCCCACCTCCATGTTTCAAATTTCCCTCCTTAATTTTTGGTGACCAAAAGATTAAATTAGTCGCAGAAAAGTTACCTTTGCCGACAAACGTTTTTAGTCGCCAAATCTCAATCAACAGCGACTAAAATATTAGTCGCTAAAAGTACTAATTTGGCGAATAATTTTTTTTTGGTTGTTGAAAATAAGTTTTTAGCGACCAAATTTTTGGTTGTCAAAGAAAAAAATAATTTTTTATTTTTCATTCGGCGACTAAATTGTTTAGTAGGCAAAACTCAATATACGGCAACTAAAGTATTTTTTGGTCGGGGAAAATAAGTTTTTGACGACTAAAATTTTGGTCGCCAATTCCACAACCAACTTATTTTTGATCTTCCGCGACCAACTTATTTTTTGGTCGCCAAAATGTGACCTTCCACGACCAAATTTATAGTTGGTCACCAAAAGCATATCACTTTCTGCGACCAACTCATTTTTTGGTCGCCAAACTATGACCTTCTGCGACCAACTCATATTGGTCGCCAAAAATAATGATCATGCGCGACTAATAAATATTTGGTCGCCAAAAGGTAACTTTTAGCTACCAACTTTTATATTAGTCGCGAAAAGTGGTCGCTAAAAGTGCAAATTCTTGTAGTATCACAACTGCACCAAATAGGTTTTCAGCTTATGTTTACAGTTGTAAGTTATAATTTATAATCACTTTCTCATAACTTTACCAAACGAGGCCATTATACTGATCAGTTAATTAACCTCTTACTTTTGTACAAGGTTTTACTATTCCATTACCCTCATATTAGAACTGCCGGAGAAAATCTGATCCACAAATTAAAAACATTCATCTTCTAACTTCTCAACTATTAATATTTTTTTAATTTATTTAAATTATTTTTATTTATAAATTATAAGTAGAAACTGGCATAGTTTAGAAAGTTGATTACTTTAATTGGCTACTTTAATCTGGTTAAAAAAAGTTATGTTTAGAAAGTTTAAAAAAAAAAAAAAATAGTTAATTTGATAGTTATAAGAAAAAAAATAAAATGATTATGAATTGAATGTAACATTTTGTATTATTAACTATTTTAACTTTTTTTTATCTTTTATTGACTATTTTAACCTAAATATATCAAATAATTTACGAAGCTGATGAGTATAAACAATTCTATACATATGTCATTTTGAAAACAAGGTTGAGGTTGTATTCTGTGGTGGTGCACCACTCACTTGTTTGTATTAGGAGAACCTGTCTGGCACGGCGTTGAAGTGTGCTAATAGGACAGCCGCCTCATGGGCATGATAAGAAATTTCCATCCAAGTATATGTACCTTCTTATGATGTTATCACTGATAAAATAAAAGGAAAAAATAAATAAGAAATTTCCATCCAAGTATATGTCTATTACTCAATAATAGAAATCAAAAAATGTAAGATAATTTAAAAGATATTCAGTGATTTTGACATACTATTGTAGAAAACGTTTCAGACATATAATTGTGAGCCCCATGTGAATTATTGATTCGTGACAGTATCCAAGAGGAATTCAAATTCTTTCTAAAACAAGTTAAAAATAAGAATTTACATTACATGATCCATGGTTATTAAAGAGTTATATCTTTAATTAATTTTATTTTTTAAAACAGTTAAGAGTGAAATTAAAACTTATGATGGTCTAATAGTTTACAAACCATGAATTTTAAATTTTAATGATATATTAAAATATCATGTATTAAAATCGAAATCTCCATTTTAAACTTGTAATGAATTGGGGAAGATCTTGATCCCCCACAAAGCATACAATAATTTTCTGAGCTTGTGAGCAACACTCTCTTGTCTCATTTTTTAACCTTGATCAACATTCATGCACCAATCCCATGGCTCCACCATATATTAATTTATGCAATGAGTGATTGGTGAGTAATACATTATATCCTTATATTGCGGAGGATTAGTCTAACCAATGGAAAATTACACTTCAAACGTGGAACACTAATTTAGATGTATTATCAATGCATGAATCACATTTCAAGAACCCTTTGCTCCACAATCAACAATACTATTTAGTGGTGGAGGCTACACGTACCAAGGTAAAGAACTGCTCTCTCTCTCCCTCTCTCAAAAGTCTTGGAATCCGTTTATTTTCTAACCATACACTTAAAAAAGTCGTCTATGAACACAAAAACATGATATACAGAATTGAGATATATAATTCATTTGAATGGCGAATTTTTTTTTTCAGAAATGGATGACACTAATAAATTTGTAAAATTCCCTCCATCTATGTCGATTTGTGTTCATTTTGAAAAGAATACCAATCACAAAATATATATATGGGCAAGATTTTTCAAAAATAAATTTGCTAACAAATTTTATAAAATCTTATCTAAGGATACATATTATTCGATTTTGTAATCAATTTCTACGTAAACATATTGCAATCTTGCATCGCCATAGGCCGTAGTCGTCGTCTCAGAAATAATTTGGCATGACATCTCCCGCCTATGCAGGGAAACCAAATGGCACAAGTGACAACGGGGAAGAATCTAGTAGGTCTTGGTGCATGAACCCATAATTACGAAGCACTTGATTATCTGCGAAATTCAATGCCCTCTCCATCTCCTTCCAGCAAGAATCACCTTCGTACATAGAATTGTGCTCCCCACTGCACTGTTGACACCCAGTGAAATGCGTGATACATGGCCGCTTCCCAGCATCTTTCCGATACCCAGCCTCCTCTAGATATGGCTCCCACACTGTCCCATAACTCTCGCTCACCTTCTCCGCATGTCGCCTCCTCAATCTCTCTATTTTCTTCTCCAACCCAATGTAATTACGAGTGATATTATCAAGTGTCTTCACCAGATGCAACCAATACCCTTGAATACAATATTCATGTTCCAAGAACACCTTGTCCCCCCACCTCTCCCTTTCTTTCATCAACAAATACACCATAGCCGTTTGATCGTCTGACACAGGGTACAACTTATCCTTGATCGCCGTGGTTAGAATTTGGCCCCACTTTTCGTAATTCGGAGTCTGTGGGCCCATCTTAGCCCACTCTTCCATGAAATCTAAAGACCATTGACAATTTCGAATGTAGAACACCCCAGCATTGAGTCCGAGCCAACTCGGATTCTCATAAATCATGTCAGGCGACCCGCCCACTACCAAGTTATAATTTTTGTACCTCTCCTCCAACGGCGGTTTGAAATCCATATCAGTGAAAACCGCATCCGAGTCGACCCACCAGATCCATTCAACCTCCGGGTGGGCTACCATGGCGGCTCGAACCACGGGTATTTTGGCCCAATAAGAACCCATCTTCGGGTGGAGCAAGGCGTTGTTGTAAAAGATATCATACCCGTGGACCCGACAGTAATCAACCTTGTTCTTGAAAAGCCTCAGAAGCAGATGATCTCCGATTGGATTCTTGCATGGCGAGGATTGCGACCCGGTCACGACAAGAACCCGACGACTCGACCCGGCAGCAAGATTCGGGTGAATCTTTAGCCACTCTCGTCTCTTCTCGTCCCAGTTCTTGATTGGCTTCTCAATCGAGTAACTAAGATTCGGGTCGTCATAGAATGTTGTCTGGTTTTCGTTACCTGTAACACAGAGCGGATCCACGGCCGAGCCGCCTTCCGCCGCCGGTAGCCAACGCTGAGCAGAGGAGGACCCAAGTGTCCAAACTAGGAGAGCAAGTAAAGCTATTGCTCCGACGAGAAGGAGAGACTTATTTCTGATCAATGATGAGAGTGAAGTCTCTACTCTGTTTTTTTCCATGGTGGGTCTGTGTAACTGAGGCATTTTCTTGGTGGAACAGGAAGGGTTTCAGGGATGTGTATTTTTATGTAGTGTGATTGTCAAACTACAATTGAAGTGTGTGGAAAATGTTTGAAATTTATCTAGTTGATATTTTTAGGGTTAATTACAGTAAGATCCCTTAATTATTGATGAATGTCACTTTATTTATTTTATTTATGAATTTATATATATTGACTCCTCAACTATAAACGCATTCCTTTTGCAAGGTTTGAAGATAGTCTGCAACGGTTAAAATAATATATAAAGGGTTAAAGTGATATTATCAACAGTTAGACAATCTTTATGTAAATAACTTTTTTTTTTATTAAAGTTTTTAGAAAATTTACAAGTGGACAAACAATGTTTAATTATTGATTAATTAAATTTTGGGGAATATTTTTCAAAGATTGAGACATTAATGGGTAAAGAAATGTCAATCCTGTTTTATTTGGAGTAGATCTCAAGTAAGTTCCTCCTTCGGCGCACTTGGTGCAGAGGAATACGGGTGCAATGGAATCAAAGAAGCAAAAGTTGACAAATACAAAATATAAAAATCAATCACAAAAAAGTTAAATTGTATATTTATTTATATGTGTTTTACATTTAATTTTATAATCGATTTATTTATTTATAGCATACAAAATACTAACGAAAGATAGTTCGACTGCATATGTTTGTTTTGGAACTGCTTACACAACTGAAATTATTGGAAAAGTTCAGGTACGATCCCCCAATATGCTTTTGTGTGAGAGACAATTCCTAAAGTACACAAAGCCGATCCTCCCAACCAAAATTTAGAGAATAGTTTTGTCTTTCTTGTTTATAGCCTACTCATTTGCTTGCTTCATTAACTTTTCATTCATGAAACTTTTCCTTGAGCTCGGAGCACAAAGAACTGTTGGAGTGGCATTGGTGGGGTGTTGACTTTAGATTTTTGACGCTCAAATTAGGAGTCTAGTCATCTTCTAATAATATCTACCCTCTAAGTTTTGAAAATTACTGACTATTTATTTTGACAACTAAAAAAAATTATTGTACTAATTTATTTAGATCATATCACATCTTTACTCTTTTTTTTTATATATTTTTTAAAAAAATAAAAAAATTGACTTTTTTCTTACTTCTCAAAATAGACTGTGCAAGTTAAAGAAAAAATTCTCTCTTCATTAGCATTTCTTTAATATTTAGAATATCTTTAATGTTTAAGGGTTGTTTGGAGTGTCCTAAATAAGTGTATTTTTTGTCTTTTTGGACTAAAAAATTGAGGAAAAAAATATGAATGTTTGGATTAACTTTTTGACTTTTTATGGAAAAATGTGTATTAAAAAATTGTATAAATTAGTGTGTAGGAAAAAATTAGGATTGAGAGTTGTGCAGCCGTAATTTTTAACTTTTAGTGAATAGTGATAACTTTTTAACTTTTTGAGTAATTTTTTGACTTTTTGACTTTTTTGCAATATGCCAAACTTGGCCTTAGGCCTCATTTGGCAAGTGCACCTTTTAGCTAAAAAGTCAAAAAGTTACTAAAAAATCAAAAGGCCAATAACACATACCAAAAAGTCAAAGATTCATTTTTCTCTCTACTTTTTGCACATCTTTTCGTAAAAAATTAAAAAGTCATCACAAACATACTAATTTTTTTTACATCACATTTAGTCAAAAAGTCAAAAAATTACTAAAAAAATTTGTTCCCAAACGAGGCCTTAATGTCAAAATAAGAATGTTGAATCAAATAATTCAAAAATATTTAATTTGATGATGATGTTCCAATAATGCAAGTGGCATTTATTTTTAAAAATCATTTATGGGCCATATCATAACAAATAATGTTATTTGCACTAATTAGTATACCACTTGATGATATGATATAATTTAAGAGATTTTTTATATTTATAATTTGTATAATGAAAGTCAATAATAATATCATAAATAGTATTAATACACTAAGTAATATACTAATTAGTACATGTAACACTACCATACCATAAATACATTCACTTGATATAACTTAAATTCTCTAGCAATGCTACACATAAACATCTGAACACAAAATACACAGAAGTTTTTGCATAAAAGTGGAGGACTCACGTGAGCCCCATCCTCATATGATAAATTGTATTTTTCTAAGTTCTCACATTCCTAACAAATTTGTCTTTAGATTTTTGAAGTTTTGAGTGAAATAGATGTGAAGATGGCAATTACCATATGGACATAATTTAAGGGAGCAATTCTAAGAACCCAAAACAAAGCAAAAATGCTAGAGATCTCAAAAATTCTATCAAAAATTTTACCAAATGTCTCACATGGGTGTGGGACCCACATGGGACCCACATTGTGTGGGTCCCACACCTATGTGAAACATTTGGTAAAACTTTTAGTAAAATATTTAGGGTCTCTAGCATTACTCCAAAACAAAGAAACCTAAATTCCATTTAGAATTTGTAATTAAAGGTCGAGATTTATTCATGGTATAGGCCCACAATAACAACATTAAATTTGCACCATAAATTTAAATTTCTAGGACCGTTTCTAATTTATAGACTTTCTATTTTTTAAAGTGAATTTATTTTCTTTAATTAGTACATGTAATACCACCATATCATAAATACATTCACTTGATATAACTTAAATTCTCTAGCAATGCTACACAAAAACATCTGAACACAAAATACACAGAAATTTTTGCATAAAAGTGGAGGACTCACGTGAGCCCCATCCTCATATGATAAATTGTATTTTTCTAAGAGCATCTACAATGCACTAGGCATATAATACTTGTTAGTTAAAATGCCTAGTGTGATTCACTTTTTTCAATTCCAATGCACTAGGCATATAATTAAGCATTTTGGCTCAACTCATATTCACTAGCTACATGTAGCTAGCCTTCAACGCTAGGCAAAATGTATTCAATCATTAGGATCATTTCCCTCCATCTTTGTTGTTGACGTGGCATTCTATAAAATTAATAGTATTTGGATAAATAGTTAAAATAAAGAGTATCGTTGGAGTAAAAACATGAAAAGTTGATAGGCAAAATAAAATATATACTTTGTAGTAATATTTAGATAGGTAAAATGCCTACTACCTTTGGAGATGCTCTAAGTTCTCACATTCCTAACAAATTTGTCTTTAGATTTTTGAAGTTTTGAGTGAAATAGATGTGAAGATGGCAATTACCATATGGACATAATTTAAGGGAGCAATTCTAAGAACCCAAAACAAAGCAAAAATGCTAGAGATCCCAAAAATTCTATCAAAAATTTTACCAAATGTCTCACATGGGTGTGGGACCCACATGGGACCCACATTGTGTGGGTCCCACACCTATGTGAAACATTTGGTAAAACTTTTAGTAAAATATTTAGGGTCTCTAGCATTACTCCAAAACAAAGAAACCTAAATTCCATTTAGAATTTGTAATTAAAGGTCGAGATTTATTCATGGTATAGGCCCACAATAACAACATTAAATTTGCACCATAAATTTAAATTTCTAGGACCGTTTCTAATTTATAGACTTTCTATTTTTTAAAGTGAATTTATTTTCTTGAATTGGGTTTGGTAAAAATAAATGGGAGTAACATTCAAAGGAGTGCCTTGGTACAGTGCAAGAGGAAGAGAGGTAGTCTAGTAATACAGTTGTAATACATTCAGAAAAAGAATAAACACAAAATGCACAAATGTGTTGAGTGCACTTAGACTTTTTCATAGTAATAATATCAAAAAGAAAGCAAGGGGCTGCCTTTTCTCTTTGAATAAAGATTAGGAACACAATTTTTTCTTTGAAAAATAAAGCGTGACTGTCTCTGTCTCTGTCGCTTTCTCTTTCTCTTTCTCTTTCTCTTTCTCTTTCTCTTTATATCTCTTTACAGTTAGAAATTATCATATGTATCTTTATTGCTAATTTGATAGTTATTGCTTGACAAAGTACGAGCCATTGCTTTTGTGTTGGTAGTGTTTTAGAAGACACTATGACAATTAATTATAAAGGGTGAAAAAAAAAGAAAAAACAAGACGCTATGAGAGGTGTTAATTAATAAAAGATATATACAATTATTTCAAAAACACTTAAAATTTTTCTTTTACAAATCAACATAAATTTTTAGCGATTTTGTTGTTACACTTTCTGTAATACTATATATAATCTCATTTTTTATCTCATTTTTCTACCCTCTAGACACAAAACAGCAATGGTTGAGGGCCATAATTTTTGTGGCTCAAATGGCTCGAAATTGCCAAAACGACGTCGTTTTGACAATTTTAAGCCATTTGAGCTACAAAAATTGTGACCCTCAAACATTTTTCAGACACAAAACAATGAGATCTATATTCATAATTGCATATGAGACCTCACTTATGTCTAGGGTTACAAACGAACCGAACCGAACCGAGTTTTACTGAGTTCGAGTTTGATTCGTTTACTTATTGAACTCGGCTCAATGAGCTCAATAAATAATTGGACTCGAGCTTGGCTCGACTTGTTAATATTAACGAAACTCAAGTTTAGCTCGACTCGGCTCGATACGATTTTTTTTAAATATTATTGATATTATTTAATATATAAATAATATAATTTAAATAAAGATAAACGAGCCGAACTTGATAAGCCGAGCTTATGCGAACTCAAGCTTGGCTCGTTTATTAAACGAGCCTAATATTCGAGCTCGAGTTAAGTTCGTTTACTAAACAAACTGAGTCGAACCAAGCCCAACGAGCGAAACCGAACCCATGTCTATTCATGAATAACCCGGTTCATTTACCATCCCACTTATGTCATGGGGTTAGAAAATGAGATAAAAAAAATAAAATTATATATAACATATTTCTTACTTTTTACGGTGACAAGGAATTAGCAAAATTTTAGCAAAATTATTAATGCAATAGTAAAGTGTCAAATTCTTAAAAGTCAGTCAAACTCGTAGTACTTGAGTTCAGAATTCCCTACTCTTTCCTCCTCTCTTCCAATCCAAATAAATAAATAAATAGATGAAATTATTTTATAATTTTTATAGGAAATTAATATAGGATAAATTATTTATAAGTCTTATTTGAAAGACTTATACAAGATATGATCCTATGAAAAAATTTATAACTCAATAGGTCCTGTAAATTTTTTTTTTTTGTGGACACATCTACTTTTAATCTTAATTAATTAATAACCTGATTAATGATAATACCATATATGGAAAATTCAATGTTACCATAAATTGTGATCCTATCTATATGGTTAAAAAATTGAAATTCAAAATAACCTAATTAATTACAATACCATATATGTGAAATCCAATATTATCATAAATTCTGATCATATCTATATGGTTGAAATTTGAAATTCAAAATGTAAATATAACATGTAACATCACGAACCCAACGTGACATTCCCATATGTTTCTGAAATTCAAAATAACTTGATTAATGGCAATACTATATATGGAAAATCCAGTATTACCATATATTGTGACCATATTTATATGGTTGAAAATTTGAAATTCAAAACATAAATGTAACATGTAACATCTCAAACCTAATGTGGCATTCCCAAACCCAACGTAACATTTTCATATGCTTCTCATCACAAACTCGACGTAAATGTAACATGTAATATCCCAAACCTACCATGACATTCTCATATGCTTGTTATTCCAAACTCAACGTGACATTCCAATATTCCATCGTTGAATTATGAATAATGTAACCTCTAGCATCCCAACCCAAACCATGTATTGAACCACCATCACTCCCAACCCAGTATAACTTTAACATTGAGCGATGGGATTCAATTCACATTCAATTATAAACCCAAATTCTCAATAATTTTGCACAACGTACTGTGACATGTATGTAAACACGGATTACAATAAAGACAAGATACACATTCAAACAAATATACAACCGAACAAACATACAAATGTCATCTACTGCATGGTATATGTGGATTAATGCTACACACTAAATGTAACATGCATCGTAACATAATTATTCAGGTCCCAATGTACAATTGTCATCCTATGACGTGGTTCACATTTGACATCCAATTAATAACCAAAATCAAATACTCTTAACCCAATCGTTGAACCCATACACATCACTCCACACATCAAACATATCAAATTGCATCAACCATCACAATGTCAAATACACACATTCAATCAGAATATTGGCCAAAACGTGCCTATCAATGAGTGTAATAGATTTCCAATGCTCTATTAAAGATGAACAATCCACACTTCAACAAATAGCAACACACTTCAACAAAAATAAATAAATACTTATTTCCCTCAACCGATTGGAGTCGAAATCTGTCGAAGAAATCAACACACAACCTTCAAACTTCATCATATCATCGATCATATCCACATCTATTTAAGCAACATTTTGAAAATGTACTAAAATCCCACGATCAAGGCGAAAAAAACTCGTACGATTGTTGCATGTAGACTTGTCTTTCCTAAAGGTTTTTTCCAAACGTGATATGATGAATGAGAAAATAAGGTACAATATGAAAATAAATTAAGGATATACTAGTACACTAATATCATTCATTTACAACTCAGGACCTTATAGAACACATTCCTATTTAAATAAAATTTCAAACTCTAAAAGAATATCCATAGAATTTCACATTAAACAGAATTTATAAATAATTTTTCCATTATATAGAATAAATGTGGATTTTTTTTTTTTTTTTTCAAACTATTCCAACTCGCAATTTTAAAGTTGTTTATTGTTAAGTCGCACTATAAGTAAATGGGCAAATCACACTACAGTAGTATCAATTAAAAATAATTATAAATAAATAGCAAATATTATAAAAATTAATAATTAAAATTATAAACTTTATTATGAATTTGTAATAAGTTTTTGCTGACACTTAATTGAGCATTATTATTCAAGTTCAAAAATTAAATATATTTTTTAAACTTAATGATGTGTCAATTAATTAGGATATCTATGACAACATTTTCTTTCATATTTTTTCTAATTATCAATCAATCATATCACTTACACATCATGAATCTAAAAATTAAATTTATATATCATTTTATATGGTAATTTTCCCCAAGTAAATCTCAACTTTTATTATAAATTCTGGACACTTTTTTTTTTAGAACAACTAGTTGTAGAGAATATGGCGAACACAAAATCTATGCTCGAACACTTTTTCTATGCTCTTTCTCTTTTTGTTTAGCTCTCCCATATATGGCGAACACAAAATCTTGTACAGAATTTTAATTTATTTCTTTATTTGTTGGTGGTGGATAATATACTAACTAACTAAAATATGCAAACAAGTGTAAATGGAATAAAATATACTCCACTGATATATTTTTATCTAACAAACAAAGAAATTTAAAAATAAAAACAAAAAAAAACATATAGTATTATCTTTGTCAAGTTCCTGCAAGACGATCAACCCCACCGACCGGCGAATCAAAACCCAGAGGCAACACAGACGAAGAATTCATCAAATCAACATGAACAAACCCAAAATTCCTCAGCACTTGATTATCCGCGAAATTTAAAGCTCTCTCCATTCCATTCCAACAAGCATGAGCAGTGTAGCTCGGGCTGTAATGGCCGCTGCACGGTTGACACCCCGTGAAATGAGTGATAAACGGCCTCCTCCAGCCACCAGGTCCATCATATGTCCCCTTCAAAAACACCTCCCACATCTCCCCATATCTCTCACTCACCACCTCCGCCCTCCGCCGCCGCAACCCCCCCTCCGTCGCCTCCGCCGCCGCGTACTTATCCGAGATGTTTTCAAGTCTATCCACAATCTCTAGCCAATACCCAGAAAAACTGTACTGGTTTTCTAAGTAAACTTTGTTTCCCCATTTGTTTTTCTGGGTTAGCATGAGGTAAACCAGAGCTGATTGTTCATCCATTCCCGGGAATTCCTTGTCGGTGAGTTCTGCGATTGCGATTTTTGCTATTTTCTCGTGATCTGGATTCAGGGGACTCATTCTGGCCCAAGCTTCCATGAAATCCATCGACCATTGACAGTTTCTGATTAGGAAAATACCCGTGTTCATCGCGAACCGACTTTTTCTCTCGTAAATCATGTTTTCCCAACCATTGATGATGAAATTGTAGCTTTCATACTTTTTCATTGGGAGCTTGAATTCCATGTCGGTGATTACTGCGTCCGAGTCCACCCACCAGATCCACTCCGCCTCCGGATGCGCCACCATCGCCGCTCTAACTGGTGGGAGTTTCGCCCAAACACCGACCATTTTCGGGTGTAGAAATGCGTTGTTGTAAAAAATTTCATAGCCGTGGATTCGACAGTAATCGACCTTGTTCTTGAACAATCGAAGCAGCAAGTGATCGCCGATTGGATTCTTGCACGGCAGCGGCTGACTTCCGGTCACCACCACTAGGCCGTCGCGTGCGGTGGCGAAGAATGGGTGGCGCTTCAGCCACTCTCGTCTCTTCTTATCCCAGTTTCTCACCGGTGACCCAAATGAGTAGCTGAGAGATGGGTCGTCATAGAACGTTCTCTCCGGCGGGTCTTGGCTCAGATTAGCACCATGGAAACCGGTGGCGCAACCGTATGCGGCGGTGACGCCGCCGTCTGAGGCCGTGGAGTGGGGTTTTGGGAAGGTAGAGCGAGGGTCAATGAAGGACCATAGAGCACAAACCATTAGGAAAGAAATTAGAAATGCTACAACGAAAAGGGACTTATCTCTGAGGAACAAGAAAGCTTTGCCCTGAACTGTGTTTTTCGCCATTGATGAATGCTCAGCAAAAACACTTGTATGAGAGAGAGATTGATTGATTTCAAAATATGCAGTGATGTTTATTGGGAGAGAGAGAATGAGGAATTGAGTGGACAATAGTTGAATGTTGCTCTACTAAAAAAAGCAAATGATAAGAAATTTTGTCATGTCTGTCTGGTTCACTCACTGACTGACAAGTAGGGTAACTGCAAATGTGATGAACATCCTTATTAATAATTTTGAATGGAAAACATGAAGAGTAAAAAAAGAATTAAAAGCTATTCTCTTCTATTCTAATTAACATGTAATCCCGAGAAATGGCTCCTAATTATATTTATTAGAGTGGTCCCACTATTTTTAGCACTTTATTTTTCTTGTTTAAAAAAACATTTTAAAAAAAAATAAATTTATCACTGAAAAAATTTATATAGCTATTTTAAAATGGAAAAATTATAACTCAATGTATTTTTTTAGAAAAAAATTTAAATCAATCCTAAATTTTGTAAATATTAATAATTAAATTCATAAATTTTTTCACTAATGAGTCAGTGAGAATGTCAGAAGGCGTGAGAATTAAATTAACTTTTTAATATCCGAATGTCCGAGTCATTTTTGCACATCTCGATTAATTTCAATGATCGAGCAAACCTCCAATGATCTTAAGGTGTGACTTAAGCTCGAGACTTATAAATTTTATCTTTTTAAGCTTTACCGTTCGGCTACTTACCTTGGGGTGGGGAGTTAAATTAACTTTTGAGTTAATATCTAAAGAAAGCCTAAGTTTAGTGGTAAGAAAATAAAATAACAAAATCATTTACGTATAGCATTAAAGTATCTCAATATTATTCTTTATTGTAATTATATTTTTATAAATAGGAATTGATAGAGAGAGAGAACTACCCAAACACTAATTTTGAGACGAATAGTTGTGGGGAATTTTGAAAAAGCCTTGTTTGATTTGTTTCTGAGGGAGTAATTTTAGGGAAAAAATTTCAAAATATTGTTTGATTTAGTGATTTTGGAAAAAAAATTTAAATTCACTTTCTCTCTCCTACACATCAATCAATCACTTTTTCTCTCTTCTCTCTCTTTTTCAATCACTTTTTCTCTCATACACATCTACTTAATTACAACAAAATATCAAATCATCCCAAACTCTCATACTCCAAAATTATTTTAAAAATATACAACCAAACAAATTAAAAAAATTACTAAACTCTCTTCCTAAATTTTTTTTTGAAAATTTATCTCCCAAAACCAAACCAAACACACCCAATTATGTTTGGTTTGGCTTTGTAGAGTGATTTTGGAAAAAAATTTCTAAAAAAAATTGTTTGGCTTGTAATTTTTTCAAAACAGTTTCCAAAATCACTTTGTCTCTCTTACATATCAATCAATCACTTTTGCTTTCTTCTCTCTCCTTCTCAATCATTTTTTCTCTTACACACATCTACTCAATTACAATAAAATATCAAATTATTCCAAACTCCAAAATTACTTTCAAAATACACAGCCAAACAAATCAAAAAAAATTCTAAACTATCTCCCCAAAACAATTTTTAAAAACTACTCTCTCAAAACCAAACCAAACCAAACATACCATTTAGTATCTCCTCAAATGTAAAGCCTCAAATAGAGTAGATAAAATAACATGCCATTTACAAAGATTGTTTGAATTTATATTTATATATATATATACACACACACATAGGAATCAATTATTTTAAAGTATTGTTATTAGCACACCATCAATTATTTTAGATGTCTAATTTCTTTAGACCTCCACTTATAAATTGTAAAGCTTTAAAAATTTCTATTGTCCCCCAAATAATATCAAAAATTTCATTGTAAAGACATTTCACACATTCAAATGCACACCTCTTACACCCCCAAAAGCTTCCCTCTCAAAACCCTAACTAAACATACAATGGTGGAACCTATCAAACTCAGTGAAAAAAATTTGTGGTGATTAAGAAGATTTTTCTCTACTTCATTACGAGATTTGTCAATATGTTTGATTTTATTTTTTTTTCAATTACTTCTTTTTACACACACAACACAATCCACTTTCATACTTATCTGATTAGTTTTCTGTCTTTCAGGTGGTGTTTGGCAAGTGGTTTTGGGGCTAAAATAGCCATAAAAAACAAAATAGGTTATTTTAGTCATAACAAACAAAATATCACATCCAACCCATAATCATTACACTCTTCTCTCACAAAAAAAATCAAAAAAGCCAAAAAGTCAAAAGTCCTTCCCAAACTAAGCTTTTTAGCCCAGGCTTGCTAGAGGTCCCAAATTTTCTACCAAATAAATGACCAAATGTCTCACATGGGTGTGGGGCCCACAAAATTGCGGACCCCACACCCATGTGAGACATTTGGTCATTTATTTGGTAGAAAATTTGGTGTCCCTAGCATTACCCCAGGCTAAAATAGTCAAAAAGCCAAAAAGCCAACCCACTTCCCATAATCATGGCTTCATTGTACTTATATGCTCTCTATGTAAGCAAAATTGGACAGAATTTCACCCACCAGTCAATCGGCCAAGGGTGGTCTGACCTCCTTTGTTTATTTGCTTCTGTTATTGCTTCAGTTATCTGTTCCCAAACAAATAAGAGATATTTGATTACTTGTTTCCAAATAAATAAATAATGTTCTGGCTTGTGTTTCTGAATTTTGGTCATATGTTCGAGAGTTTAGTCTTGAAAAAAATGTCCAACAGTTTTTATTATTTCTGTCATTTTTTTCAAGAAACTTACCTTTACAAGGCCAATGTGCTCTGAGCTAAGAATATCATCAAAGGTATGAACCTCTTTTGAGTTTTAATTGTTGTACTCTTCTCATTTTATAAAGTTGTAGTTACTAGAAAAACTTCCACTCCTTATCATTGTTGGAGAAGTATATGTAATTAAATGGTTGCCACCGGAATATTGCCGCCAAAAGGTTTGTAAGGTTTTGAGGGTAAGTAAGTTTTGCATATGAGATTTTGGAAAGATGGATGGGTGGTGATAGAGGTGGCGCTCTCATAAATCTTAACTCATGATATAGTGGGTGTGTGGGTTTAATTGTGAGACAGGATGTCCCAAAATTACTGATGTCTTTTTTAGTAATTTCATTTGAGGTTATTATTGTAATAAAAAAAAACTAAAAAATGAAAAATATAAAATAATTAATGAGGTGCTAATAACAACACTCTTATTTTAATTACTAGACCTCATTTAGATAGTGTGTTGGAGTGTTTTACTCAAAAATATATGTAATGTTTTATATAAACAAACGAGTCTTACAAAAAAAAAAAATTATGAAAATTTGGCCATAAATCCCTCCTAACTTTCTTTTCTTGTTAAAAGGACAAAAAAAAAATTAGTACTCTCAAAACCCCCTAATAATTATAGAGTATTATATAAATGACAAAATTTATTATTTGAATATTTTATTTAACCATTATACCATCTCTTTTTTCACTTTTTTTACAACTCTCTCTCTCTCTCTCTTTACCAACGGGATGGTTGTCCATCATCTTCACTATCTTCATCATCTACCGGCGTTGCTCACCCTTGTCGTCAGTCGGCAACCACCATTTTTACTGTCAAACCATCACCATCTCAGATTTGATACCTATGAACTCATATTTGAGATCAATAACTTTAGATCTGAGATAAAAATAAATAATAATAAAATAAAATAAAAAACTTAGATTTGATATAAAAATGAGAAATCGAGATATTACAATGAAAAATCAACAGTTTTTTGTTTGTTTGTTCGTTCATATATTTAGCAATAAAATTTGGCTATGGTTCGTTCATTTAGTATGTACTCTATTTTTTTGTAATAGTAAAATTTTATTTTGCTTAACAACATGTTGATCTACTTAACGATAGTAAAATTTTATTTTGATCATAGTAAATTTTACTCTGATTCAGAGTAAAATTTTACTCTTTTTTTTTTTTATTACAGAGTAAACTTTTACTTTGAAACAAGTTGCGGTGATGGCTTTACTGGAGAGTGTTGTATCATGGACCAAAGTAAAATTTATTGTTCAAAGAACAGAGCATCATGAGAAGAAGAAAAAGATATAAGCAGACAAAGTTCAAAAATAGAAGATCATAAGAAAAAGAAGAAGAAGAGAGAGAAAGAGAGAGAGAGAGAGAGAGAAATGGTGAGTGACACACACACACACACACACACATAGAGAGAGAGAGAGAGAGAGAGAGTATGAACCATTAGAACCAAAGAGAGAGAAAGTGAAGGATCTCATATCTCAGGTTTGCGAACTGTCATGAATCATCATTTTCCAGCTACGACGACTGTGAATGATCTCAAATCTGAGGTTGTGAATGCGACAAATGACAGCGGCGATAAAGACGGAGAGAAAGAGTTCTATGGTGAGCGGCGATGGCGCTGGTGGAGATCGATGATGGTGCCGATGAAAAACAATAGTGATAAAAGCAAGACAGAGAGAAAAGAGATTGAGATGAGAGAGAATGATTGCAATCTGATACGTACACACACACACACACATATATATATATATATATATATAAGGGTATTATAGTAAAAGAAACAAATTTGAAAATACTAGGAGATTTTGAAAGGATTCATATAATTCTTGTCTTTTTGAAGGACAAATTAGACACTGAGAGATCTATCACTAAATCTCTCTTTTTTGACCAATTGATGCAAGACTTGTTTTAAATTTGTAACTTCTATTAGTGCAGGCTACATCTTTAAATTAAAAAGAACGTAAAATAAAATGTTTTTCATACAAAAGTTTAAAATTTTATTAAATATTATCAAAATATCTCATGATATTGTTGATGTAGTATTCCTCACAAATGAAAAATCACGACACATAAATGAGTCGTCTTTCCTCTCTTAACTACTGAACAAAATTGAGTTAACATGTGTTACTCATAATATTTTTTTCACAGGTTTGGTTTGGAGCACCACATAGGCCCCGTTTGGTAGAATTGTGAGAAAGCTATTATAACTTATAAGTTAACAGCTTATAACTTATAGCTGTGAATATAAGTTGATTTTTGACTTATAAATTAAGCTTCTCCTCCCCCACTCAAAGAATAAGTTGATTTTTGACTTACAAAAAGTTATAAGCTGTATTGTTAAGCTGAACCAAACATATCAAAATAGCTTAAATTAAGCTAAAAGCTGAAATAAATTGGAAATAAGTCCTATCAAACAGGACAGAGCATCATAAGAAGAAGAAAGAGATATAAGGAGACAAAGTTCAAAAATAGAGGATCATAAAAAAAGAAGAAGAAGAAGAGAGAGAGAGAGAAATAGTGAGTGACACACACATACACGCACACACATAGAGAGAGAGAGCATGAATCATTAGAACTAAAGAGAGAGAAAGTGAAGGATCTCATATCTTAAGTTTGCGAACTGTCATGAACCATCATTTTCCAGCGACGACGACTGCGAATGGTCTCAAATCTGAGGTTGTAAATGCGACGAGTGACGGTGGCGATAAAGACGGAGAGAAAGAGTTCCATGGTGAGCGGCGGTGTTGCTGGTGGAGATCGATGATAGTGCCGATGAAAAACAATAGTGATAAAAGCAAGACAGAGAGAAAAGAGATTGAGATGAGAGAGAGTGATTGCAATCTGATACATACACACACACACATATATATAAGGGTATTATAGTAAAAGAAACAAATTTGAAAATGTTAGGAGATTTTGAAAGGATCTATATAATTCTTGTCTTTTTGAAGGACAAATTAGACACTGAGAGATCTATCACCAAATCTTTTTTTTTTTTACCAATCGATGCAAGACTTGTTTTAAATTTGTAACTTCTATTAGTGCATGTTATATCTTTAAATTAAAAAGAATGTAAAATAAAATGTTTTTCATACAAAAGTTTAAAATTTTATTAAATATTATCAAAATATCTCATGATATTGTTGATGTAGTATTCCTCACAAATGAAAAATCACGACACATAAATGAGTCGTCTTTCCTCTCTTATCTAGTCAACAAAATTGAGTTAACATGTGTTACTCACAATATTTTTTTCACAGATTTGGTTTGGAGCACCACATAAAGCAATGACACCTGATATTTTATAACTATTAAATCATTATTTCAAATTTCTTTTGAAGAATATTGTGAAAATTACATTTTTAAAATAAAAATTATGTTGATAGGTCTTCCAGTAGACAATAATAAAATCAAGACTTACTATATTATTTTATGTTAATTTTTTTAAAAGAAAAAAAAAATCTATGTATTAAAGAAAATACTATGACCACAAATAATTTTTCAAATTTTTTATTAAACCTCTCAGGTGTGTGAAATCCACGCAAACCTATGTGTGAGTCCTACACTTATGTGAAAGATGTGATAAAAAAATTAATAAATTATTTAAGATCCCTAATAAAACTCATATATCAATTTTCAATTGTAAAATTAGTTTTGTTTTTATAGCATATTTTCCGTCAAATATTGCGGAGGTCTGTTCCGTGGTTGGTGGGTGGTGTTTTGCAACCCCACATGTAAACATCCGGCGGAAAGAAAGCGAGGGTTTAAACATTTTAATCAACTATTATTGATTGGAAATTAGATAGAATATTACTAGCTTTAGCTTTTCTATTGGATTTGATTTGATTGTCACACTTTAATAAATAAAGTGTATCTACATAAAGTCTAAATCATGTCGGTTTTGAACTTCAAAAGTTTGGTAAACAGTGTTGTTTCTTTTTGTTTTTATTTTTTGACACATTTGGCTTATAATATCCACAAAATGTGGTTAACATTAATACTATTATCACTATTATTAACATGTAGTTTTATATTTTTTGGGATTAAAAATAATTTGTGACTTTTCCATTCACATGAACTAGTGGTAATTCGTGTTATGAACAAGCTTTATAAATTAAAAAAAAAATTATTATAATTATCTTGAAATAATTTAATATTTTGTCTTATAATATATATGAAATTTATAAGTTGACTTTTATTTTTATACTTTTTAAATTATTAGTTTAAAAAAATTAAAAAATATATATAAATCTATTTAGTGTAAATTTGATAATTTGCATTAAAAAAAAAGTTCAATCTAATTAAATGAGATTAAATGAATTATGACATACCTCTTATTATGAAAATATACAAATTTAAAAGTTATAATTAAGACAAATATACAATTTTATTATTAAATGTGAAGCTAGGTGATATTTAACAATAATTAATATTGATGGGTTATGTCCGTTCCGGGTGGATGGGTCGGACTGGTCCAGACTCTTCAAGTTCTGATTCTGGGTGATGATTCCGCCAAGTAACCTGCAAGTAAGTCCAAAGGGGAACGGGGAAGTCTCCCAGTGAACCCTCCGGCGAGAGAATTAGTAGTGGAAGAAAGAAAATGTAGGGAGAGGGAGAGAGATAAGAAGCTTAACCTTCCTCTTGTCTTCCATTCTTGCTTATATCCTTTAGTAATCATTTCACTGTCTCTTGTGACGTGCCCCCTTTCCGCCGAAAGCCTGTGCTGTAACCTACCTTGTTCAAGGTGAGGGGGCTCTGTTCCGAGGGGGAGGTGTTGTCATAATAAATGTTGTGATGGACTGCATTAATGGTGATGTGTTGTGGCAATAACTCTACAGATCTTTGTCTGCTGATGTGGCCTGTGTTTCATCTGCCATGTGTCCGAATGCCATTGGCCCTCCACGTCCAGGTGGCCTCCAGCTGTCCCGGGCTTTGCCAACCGGGTTATGCTATTGGTCCTAAGCGATGGGTTCGGGGTGGTTTGCTGTGGGCCGTATGCCTCGTGGGCCTATCCATGTCAGTAGTCCCCCATTTCCGAGTGCAGCTTTAGTCCAACGAAGGGAATAGTAATGAGGAAGGGAAGTTCGAACCGAGTGGAGAGGTCTACGGAAAGCCGTGCCGATCGCAGGGGTGACTGAACGGGAGAAGCTGACCGTGAGGGCGGCCGAGTGAGAGGGGTCGACCGTGAGGCGTGCCAACCGCGAGGGTGGCCGAGCGGGAGGGGTCGACCGAGAGGCGTGCCGACCGCGAGGGTGGCCGAGCGGGAGGGGTCGACCGTGAGGCGTGCCGACCGCGGGGGTGGCCGAGCGGGAGATAGTTTTGGACGGATAGCAGATTTGAAGTTCTTTTGGCCGCAACCGAACAACCAAACTGCGAGCACACCTAGTAATTTGTAAGATTTTGTGTTTTCAATTTGTTTAGACATTCTATTTGTATTTTCAATTGAAAAAGAATTTAATATTATGTTGAATATATTCTGTTGAAAAAGAGTTTTCAACTTGAATATATTTTTTGAATTGAAAAAAATAAATGTATTATTTATTTATATTTTTTTGTTTTTAAATCTAACTCTAAAAATAATAAATAAAAAAGATGATATATAC